GCTAGCGTTGCTGCCTTGAGGAAGCTTGCTGAGGAATGGAAGGAGCTTTCACAAAAACAGTCTTCTCTTGAAGCACTTAGGGGATGTCTAAAAAGTTTTAGGGGAAAGGTTAGTGGCATGTATATTTTTCTAATACTTTTTGTCGTTACTAGTAGCAGTGAGCTTTGAAAGATGTGTTATAGAATAATGTTTTTGAACTTCGTTTGCAGTTCTTGCATTTTAAATGTACTTGTGAAGTATAAGCTTGGAATTCATTGAACTTGCTTATTTTAACGGGAGTTAAATTTTGTTTGTGAACCGCAATTTCTACTCTCCAATTTCTCTAAGGGTCTATTTGATTGCAAGGGTAGAAAATGGGTAGAAAGAAAATGAATTCTAGCAAAAATAATTGCTTAGAATTTGTTTTCCAGGGAATTGTTAATTAGTGTGTTTGAATGGTATAATATTCCACCCGGAAATTTTTTGAAATTTTGGATATTTTTATTCACATGTTGCTTTATTTTACATAGAAATTGTCCATTAAAGAAAAAAAAAATTACAATTGGTTACGAAATTTGTTACTATTGGCAAAAAGTAAAAAAAAAAAAATTTACTCAAAAACTATTTTTTCACTATTTTTCTTCAAAGTTTAGTATTCGTTTGGTTTCATTTTACATGAAAATTGTCCATTAAACCAATTGGTTATGAAATTTATTTCCATTGCAAACAAAAAAAAAAAAAGGGGTCAGAAAGCTGGAAGGTGGGAAAAGGAATTCAAGGATTTGGTGGAAAATGGGCGCGTGGGTGGGGAGTGGGAAAATATTTTCCAAGCCAAATTTTGTCCATCAAACAAGAGAAATGGTTGGAAAAGGAAAACATTTGCCAACTTTCAAGGAAAATTAAGCCCATTAAACAGGGCCTAAATGATTGGCAGGCTGGGTTTTTAATCATAACTAGTGCTAAATGATAGATTATTCAGTACATTAACTTAATGGTGAACTTGTAATTGTGCTTTTGCTTTGCACCTTGAATTTAGTAATAGTAAATATCAGGCTATGATTGCTTGATCAATTATTTAGTGTAGGATCACAGGATTATGATTTATTCACTTAATTAAAATAGAGACTCTGCAATCTTTCTACCTTTAATTGGAATTCCACTCCATTGTATGTCGTTATTCAACATAAAAATCTATTGAAACTATTGTTTGATATACCTAATAAATTTCCAAATTTCCACATTCTTAATTACAGGTACAGCTTATTTTGTTTGGTGAGGAGACTCGGGAAGAGAACAAGGCTGCTGAAAAACGTGTTGTAGCCGTGAAAGCATCTGGAAATAAGATAGTAGAATGTGTGTTCCGTTTATGATCGAGTATTTCCCTTACCATTTTATTTTATTTTGAAGTTTC